TAATTGTTTGTAACTGCTTAAGCATAGCTTCCATTTTCAAAGTGTCTTAAGTTAGTGAACTGATTTCTCAGTGTCTTTCCAGTTAGACATTGCATCAGACGAGCTAAAGAGTGTGTTTGAGAAGGGTGGGCCTGCGCTTCTGTATAAGGCCTGTCTGTCCTCACAGAGAAGTGCTGAGAGAGAGAACAAAGGCCATCCCTAACCTCCTGCTTCACAAGCATGAACAACAACGTGTAAGCGTTCATCATTACTGTGTTGTTTTTTTCTTAATGTTTTATTGTGAATTATATGATAGTTTACATGAGAGAACTTTAGTTTTACATTCATTCTATTGTATATCGTTTCATTGCCATGGTTCCAATCCCCTCCATGCATCATCAACCAACCAAAGGGCATACCCTTCAAACCCGCCCCCTATACTACCTCCCCCCATCCCCCACCCCCAGTCTTCAGCACACAGTCCCTCTCCCTCTCTGGATCCAAAGTCCCCAGCCGCTTCATCCCTCCATGTCATTTTCTCTGCCTCCTTCTCAGGCATCACTGCTTCTCTGGGTAGGGTTCTGCTCTCGGCTCCTTTCCGTAGATGGTCCTAGAGACCTCAGCTCCTAGGCTGGAGAGTTAATCACTCCCTTCCTTGCTATAAAACATCTACCTTTACATTTCCAACCCTCACAATCAGTCCTGATAACAATTAATTCACTATTGTATCACAAATGACCCATCTGCATTTCATTTCATCAGCTCCGCCTAGACAGATTGGATAGTACTCACTGGAGATTCTGCCTTCCTCCAGGCCCCCTGGCTCTAGGTTCCCTCTTGAAAGCTTGTAAGCCAGTCACTTCTTGCCTTTGTAGGCCCCCCACCCATTTTGGGTATCTAATGTCCAAGTTGCCCATCTCTGTCTACTCTGTGTGCGGAGGGGGTGGGAATGATTCTTGCTGTAAGGATTTGTTTTCTCTTTTGAGTTACTGCTTCCATAGGTGTAGGTCAAGTTCATCAAATGGTATCAGATTTCTCTTTTCTTCTTCTTCTTTCTTCTTCTGGTTGAGCTCTGATCATCCAGTCATTGAAGCCAGGTCAAGTGGGCATTATCTGCAAGTGTGGGTGTTCTTGTGCATATGCCCTCTCTTCTTACCAGCCAGTAGCTTCACTCTCCACTCCAGTCCCCCATGGCCATGTCACTGACTCTGGGCCCAAGAGTCCCCAGGTCTTCCCACACTGCTGGCCAACCAGGTCTCCACCAGGGTTCACAGAGGCCTATTGAACATTGTAGGGCTCAACTCGCTGCTTCTTTGCTGTTTTTACCTCACTTCCCCTTATCAGTGATGAGTGTGGTCACCAATCAGAGCGTGTATTTCCATTGAGTCTGTGTCTTGGAAGTGGGTTTGCACTGAGGGGACCTGACCACTTGCCTTGATGTTTTCTGGGTAAGCAACTTGTTTTTTCTTGCTGTAACAGTCCATCTGCCTCTATTGTTTTGTATTTTTCCTGTAGGTCTTTCCTTCAAGAAGTATCTTCTGTTCTTCTAGCCTCTCTAGGCTGGTCTGCTTGTCCTTTCAAGTGGGATTTCCCATCTCTGGAGATCTGGATGTGATTCATGCTTCCACCTATAGTCTTATGTATTGCAAAGGCTCCACAGGAAGCCTCCTTCACTGGGCACGTTGTTGCCCCATTTTAGATATGCCAATCAGTTATAGGCAGAAGACGGACTTACAAGCTTTCTATGGTGATGTTTCTGACTATTCCTTTCTCTCCCCCTCCAGTGTCTATTTTATATCATCATTACTGTTTTAATTACTGCTCCATGTCCATATTTACACTGCGCTCTGACCTTCGAGAACTCTGCAGAGGGTTTTCATGTTCATTTGTTGATAGGTCTCCTCACAGCCTCTAAGGTGGGAATTACTGTTCCTGTTTTATAGGTGAGAAAACTGAGGTTCAGAAAGAAAATAAAAGTTGATAAAGGGCTCACCGGAGCAGAGATCCCTGTCTGTAGTTGGCAACATCCTTTTCAGGGGCTAATCAATTTTGGGGAGAAAACCCCCAATGCTCAAGGGGATGGTTCTAACAGCACACTCAAGCACTAAGAGAAGAGAAGAGGCTCCAGGAAGCCTTTGGGACAAGAGCCTCCTGGTGCCTGCCCACTATCAGCCCTCACCGACAATCTGAGGCTCCAACACCAACATTCAAGTCCAGATGCTTTGGTGTCTATGTGACCTTGGTCAGCTCCCAGCAGCCTCAGATCACCTCCTCCTGTTCTGATCCTCCCAAGTCAGCCAGGGTACTCAGATAGGCATTCAATGCTCCCAACAAATGTTTGCTAAGCTTCCATCACCATTCTGGGCACTTGGGACCCAACAGAAACAGAACAAAATCAAGTTCCTAACCTCATCTAAGCATGGGAACATGGACTGGGGTAATGATGGTGGGTTAGGCATTGAATTGCTAATCACAAGATTGTCAATTCAAACCCATCCACTCCTCTGCAGGAGAAAGAAGAGGCTGTCTGCTCTGGTAAAGATTTACAGTCTTAGAAACCCTATATAGGGTTGCTATGAGTTGGTTTGGTTTGGGTGTTTTGGTCAGAGGGTGTAAGTGCCAAAAAAAAAAACCCAAAAAAAACCCAAGCAGGTCAAGGGGTCAGAGAGGAGGAGAGGGGTTATTAAATAAGGGGGAACATTCTAGGAAAAGGGAACAAACCATGCAAAGACCCTAAAGCAGAGTGTGCCTGGTGAGCTTGAGAAAGAGGAAGCAGACCAGTGAATGAGAAAGTGGGGGGTGGGGGGGAGGCGATGAGCTGGGGTGATGAGCATGCAGGGGCCGGTTAGTCACACAGGGCCTGGGGGTGGGGATGAGAGGAGTGGTCATCAAAAAATTTTTCTTCACAACAAAGCTGTGATGTCCCTCAAAAATTATGGCAGAAATTCCTGGAAGCTGAGCAGAAGTAACAGATTCTTTTTTCTCTAGACTCCTTTCCATGTTATACTGGACCATGGAAACAGTGTGACCATTTCCTTCTCCTCCTCCCCTTCCTCTCAGACCTGCCCCTGACCTTGTCCTGAGCTGCCTTGGCTGTCTTCCAGCTACAGGCAGACTCAGGCAAAGGACAAGGCCAGTGAGGGGATGGGAGGAAACACACCCCCGGGAAAGGCGGGTGGCAGCACGAGGGACGATGTCACGGGGTACTCTGACCGCTATTCATTTCAGTCCCGATGTCTCCATCAATAATCGTCTGCCAGTGACCAGGAAGGAGCAGGGAGGAGGGAGGAGGAGAGGAGGGTGATCTGGAGTCTGGTGGGAATGGCTGAGATTGAGTGAGAGAGAGACACTCACAGCTCCTCCCAGTGGAGGTGGGGAAGACTGAGAGAGCTGGGAGGTGAGAGTTTCTGCTTCCTTTTTCCCATTTCCTTCCCATCTTCTCTCTGATGCCAGAACAGAAAGGGAAATAGGGCCAGTTTCTACACTGAAAGAGGAGGAAGGAGATTTTCATTATGCAAAAGCTGAGTAGAGGGGTCAAGAACTGCAAAGAATTCTGGGAGCCTTCTTTGCCCCGAGAAGACACCAACACAAGCCTGGTGGAAAGGACTGGAATAAGGGGAGGGACTGGGCCGCTGCAGCCATCCTGCGGCTTGACACAAACTCTGAGTCACAGTAGGCACTCAGGAAATACTGGTTAAATGACCATGACAATGGCCAGCTGTGGGCAGTCAAGAAGGCATGTTGGCTCAGATGGACTACCAGTCAAGAAAGGCTAGTTGGAGTAGGTGGAACTTCATCAGATCCTTGAAAGATGGCTGGGAGATGTGAGAATGGAGAGATAAGGCCTACAAAGCAAGGAGACAATGAGAGCAAAGAACAGGGACAGTGATGGCTACAGGTTGTTGAAGAGACGCAGAGAAGACTGTGGGAGAGAATGCAGGAGAGGAGGACTGGATGATAGAGTGAAACACAGGAAGATGACCATTCTTTATGCCTTCCCTGGGGCCAGGGATGAATTTGGAAAGTCTGAGGTGACTCACACTCAAGTCTGCTATTGGTCAAAGTGAGCTTTTCAAGTCTCTCAAGCCATGCCCAATCACATCTACAGACAGAGGAAGGAACCCCCAATACTAGGCAGTTTGAGGGAATTTCCAGGAAGACTTTCCCATTACCAGACACTCTTGTCACCTTGTCACCAAGCCTGAAGAGCCAGCGTTAAGTCAGTCCTATGGAAAGTCAGATTCCCTGGTGAGGGGGCAATCGTGTGGCACTGCCAGCATCACTCCATGGAGAGCTGGACCATGGAGATCAGTCAGTCTGATCCTTAGCTCACACCTAAGGAGACTCTTAGGGATCTTTGTCATTAGAGGTCTGCCCTGGGTCCAGCATTGTACCTTATGACTAGGAGAGGTATGAAGACCATCACTGTTAATACGACAGCAGGGAATGATGGGTCATGGGACACGTGGACAGCCCATTCCTTTTCTCAGGACAACCTAGCCTGGCCTGGTATCCTCCTTACAGATTGAGCATTTATTTGAAAGGCTGAGAGGGTCCCTCTCTCAGTCCTGATGGAACAGCCACCAGCACTCCTAGAGACCAGGACAAGAGTTCAGGGTCAAGTGTGACTAGAGGTCTTGGGAGTGGAGGAGGCTGCCCCTTCTGGGAGGTATAGGGGCTGGAGCTGAAGCAGAAACAGCATCCAGAACGATGGGAGGGAAAGCTAAAAAAAAAAAAAAAAAAGGGTGCCTGAATCACCAGGGCACAGAAACAAGGGAAGACCCTCATAAAGAAGGGGATGTAGTGGGGGAAAGAAGCAAGGGGAGATTCCACAAAGGAAGCAGGATAGAAAAGAAACGGGAAGGATCACTGACAGACGGGAAAACGGAGAGGTAGGAAAGCGACTAGTAGATCGCACCGGAGAAAAAGAGGGTAAGGAGCGGGGAACCGAGAGCCAGATGGGGGCGAGCGACCCAGAGGGTGTCCCACTAACCCTTTTCCGCGCTTGTTTCCTTCCCCAGGCTGCGCTTTCCTCACCTACTGCGAGCGTGAGTCAGCGCTGAAGGCCCAGAGCGCGCTGCACGAGCAGAAGACCCTGCCCGGGGTAAGTGGCGCCCGCCGCGGCGCAAGCTACAGACGCGCCTACAGGGGGCGACTTGGGGAGGCCGGGATGCGATGCCGCTAGCGAGGGATGGCGGCCCTGGATCCCGCCGCCTGGTTGCGCTCCGGGCCCCGCGCGCGCCCCTGCGGGTCCCTGAGGCCGAGAGTCGGCCGGTCGGGGGCAAGCCCGGTCGGAGCCCTGCCCTCGCAATGCGCCGTCCAGGCCCGACGGAATCCGGGCGGGGAGAAAACTTGACCTTAATCACAGCCAGCTCGCGGCTCCTCCCCTCCCTCGGGGCGCGCCGGGCCAGCCCACGCGGGCAGCCCTGGCGGGGGACGCGGTCAGCAGGCCCCCTGGGCCGCCTGCCACTTGGCCGCCAAATGCCACCCCGGTCCCTCCCGGTCTCTTCCAAGGGCGGGAGCGCCTCCCAGTCCGTCTCGGCGCCGCCGCCACCAGTGAGATCACCGCGGTTTATTTAAGGAGCCAGCCCTGGGCTTTGATAAACTATCGCGCCTCGGCCCTGGTTTATAGCTTCTGTGAGGGGGAGAAGAGAATTATTTATGGCCCCCCTAACTGGGTGTGATATCAGCCATGGCTATTATAGAGCCTAGTTCATCACCATAAAATAAGAAGTGTTCTTCGGGTCAAGGGTCTGCGCGGTCTCTCCTGTGGGTTCAGAGAGATGGTGGGGGTGGGGGGGATAGATCGGTGGAGGAGATATACGACTGGCTGAGTATCTAAAGATAAATGGAAAGATGTTCGTGTTTGTGGGTATAATTTAAAGAATTTATAAATATACCATGTTTACGCTTATACAATTGATTGCGTTGAAGGCACGTGTGTTCTCTATGTATGCTCACCCATGCTTACTTACATACGCATGTTTACATTCTTACCAAGCAAAGCATATGTAAACACACGTTTCTATTTCTGCCCCGCGGCGGGAAAGGTTAACCTGTTAGAAAGAAAATGCAAACCCAGCGGTGGCAGCCTTCTTTTTCATCAAAGATCCTTCTTTGCCTGTTTAGGCGTGAGAGGTGCTGAGTTACACGGGATCTGCCTTCCATTAGGAAAGCCTTTGTATTTTATGTTGGTATTTGTGATTGCAAAGCACGGGGCTGAGTCATCTTAATAACACACCCATGATGCAAATGTATGGAAATCATGCGCCTCACAGATTTTGTGTGGAGTCCCAGCTCTGGCAGGGTGGCCATTCCCCAGTTGGAGTTTTAGTGGTGCTGCTACATGCACATATATTATAGTAATTACTTTCTGGGTGCCCTATGTAAGATGGCAGAAATATACTTCATATTGCCCATGTCATGTGTGAAGCATAAAGCCATATTGTAAGATAATCAAAGGCTTCTAAGAAAGGTTTATGCTGATTAATAAAGTGTTTATAGCACTTTGTTTTGAGGGGAGATCGTGATAGATATTTTAGAACCACCCAAATGGAATAGAAAATACCACATTGTTGTGGGAGGCCCTTCATCAGCTTGAGAGAGATTGCTGAGGAGTTTCATGACTGTTAAAAGCTGGGAATCAAATGGGGATACAGAAAGATAAAAGGTGGGAGGGGGAGGTTTAGGATTTTTAAGAGGAAGAAGCCAGGAACTAGGAGAATTTCAGTAGCAAGTGCAGATTGTTCGGGATCTAACGTTAACTTGTGGTTGTTTATTTTACATATAATAGAATAGCTAAATGATGGAGTGTATTAGTTCTTTAATAATTTATAGAAATACTTTGATGTTGCAGTAATTACATTAAAGGTCACATATCAAAGGTAATTTGGTTGAGCAGCTGTGATGGTTTCTCAGAAGCAATCAATATCGCTGTCCGTGGTGCTGATTTCACCAAGGGGCCTGCCAGATTAAAGAAGGCTTATTACCAGGCAGAAAGGCCCAGGGGAAATCAGGAGCACATTGGAGCGAGGCGCCAGCCCCCCTTCCACCGATAATTAACACTGTTCCCCATAATCTGTGCTAATCCTTCATACTGGGAGATCCAGTGGCATTTTTCTGAAATCACAAAGACAAGTGGGCAAGT